AATATCGGTATCGGATCGGAAGTGCAAAAACCTGGATCGGGACATCTCTAGTCACAATTCTTAGATTTATATTCATAGAAAATGTTGAACATCCAAGTACTCCTTTAATCCACATTTTATACGATATGCGCTGATCTAGCATTTAAAAAACACAAAAGTTTGAAGTTGCAAAGAGACGATGTGAAAAAACATGAAGGGATAAATGATTTTAAATAATCAAATAACTGAATGAAAATGATGTCATGTGTTTGTGTTACTGTGCGATGCGGAGACACCCACCCTGCTGGATGGCGGTCCAGCTCGTTGAGGACGGTGTGATCACAGTATTCAAACACCAGGTGAAGCTTCCGTTTCCTTCTGAACACTTCAATCAGATTCACCAGGTTGGTGTGCTTCAGTTGCTGCACAAGCGCAGAAGTAAAGAACACCAAATATTTAGTTAAAACAAAAACAGCCCAGTTAACTGTGGGGTCCGCTTTATCGCTTCTTCTGGGCTTTGCTCTCAGTCTACAGTAGACGGGAGCTCATAAACATGCTGTTGCCCCTGACAACCTGTCCTATTTATGAGCTCCTGGTGGACTACCAACACTCCCACCCTCTGCATGACTGATTTCAACTCTGACGAAAGCACAGCTGTATCTTTTGTATGTTGCAATATATGACAACATAAATGAAATGTTGGATATATGAGTAAGAGAAGCAGAATTTATAAATTGTAGCTGCACATCCCAGGATTTGTTTTTACCTTCAGCATCCTGATCTCCCTCAGTGCGATCTTTTTGATGATGGGATCATCCTCAGACTCTACAAACTTCTTGATGGCAACAATCTGTCCGGTGTCCCTGTTTCTGCACTTGAAGACAACACCATAGGAGCCCTCGCCAATCTTCCCTATCCTCTCGTACTTCTCCATCGTCCGAGTCAGGCAGTGAGGGACAACAAACCGGGAGGCAGGAGCGACTCTGCAGCTGCAAAACAGAGGGAGATGTTTGGCACTCAGAGGGAAAACGGAGAGTGAGAGTTAGAGTAACCCGACCACTGACTGCTTTTGGTTGCAACGAGGAATAATTACAAAAGAGAATTGAATGTTCCTTTATGGCTGTGCATCACACATATAGGTTAACAAGCAAAACAGAACTGACTGGACAGAACTATTTTTATCCATCTTTAAGCACAAGCATGCCTGCAAATAAGTGTGTTACAGCCTGATGTAGAACTAAATGTTTAAGATAACCTCTTAAACTACCTGTAAAAAGAGAGAGGTCCGGAGAACATTATACCTGTCTCCAAACAGTTAGATTGCATAAGGAAACATTTGCAATGCAAAGTATGTGAGGTAATTCTCCACACGGTGCAGAAAGAGAAAACAAATAAAGGAGCTTCCTAAACAGCCAAGGAAAAACAGTCTAAACAAATCAGCAAAGGTAAATAAAGGAATTAAAGGTGCAAATTAAAAAATTCACGTGCGATTATAACCCTTAGCTGATAGTAAAATATATATGCAATTTATTTGGTGTTATTTTTATTAGATTTGTAACAGAAAATCTTATTTTGAAATTAAAATTCCTTACCTGTTTGCAGGTGGTCAGTCAGGACGATGCTGCTCTTCTCCACAACCAACCTGTGAGGAGGACAACTAAAGATCAACTATCCTACAGCTGCTGCAGGGGATGCATTTAAAGCCTCAAGACAGACATAATTAGCTTCTCTTCCGGTCAAGCTTTTCAAAATAAAACTACATCCTGTGTTTCTATCCGTTTGGTAAATATTTCGTCAAGTTCCAAATTTATGTGGGAGAGAAATGACTGGGATTGTCCTCCTGAAGCTTAGGAAGTATGACATCATTTCTCAAAGCTCTTAACTGCAAAAAGGGTCACATTTAAAACAATATCTGTTAAAGTCTAACAATGACTTAATGCATCTTATTAGAAAGACACTTCAAACCCATCTTACATGCAATTTAAAAACTGTTATTGTTTCAAAACATTATTAACATCATACTAGTTCAAAGTAAAATTTATCCTTAAAATGGAAGGAAGCAGTAACTGGATTTCCCTCTGACTCGAGAGCAGGACGTCACAGAGCTGCCCCTCTCCCATCAGTTGCTGCGCACTGCTTTTCAGCTGCAATAACTTAAGGTCATGAAATGCTAAAATGTTAAATCAGTGGAGTCCATGCTTTATTTAAGCCTAATTGGTCAGCTAATATGTACGGAAGAGGATTAGGGCCACTGAAAAAAAAGAAAAAGTTAACTGATTTTTAAATTTTATTTCAGTTTA